TGTGGGAGAGTCAGACTCTAATGCCTGTCGCAGTTTACAAAGGAAAGGTTGTTATCAAGGTCTGAATGGCGCATCTGATATCTTACCAAAAGTTCTGGCAGCAAGTGGCACATTCTGAAGATATGATTGGATTCCTTTTAATGATTGGCGAATCAAACTGCGGCTGACCCACTCCATTTCCATACAAGTCTTCGTTCTCCTCCGGATATGGTTTTTGGTAAAATGGAAGCGATTGTCCTTCAACCAAAACCAACAACAAAACAAAAACAGTACAACTTTCTTTAGGAGTGAGGATCACATCTGTGTTTTGACTCACCGCTCATTTGGTTCCTTTATTTATTATTATTTTTTTTTACCGATCTTCGGATGGAATGCCGTGTGATTATTCAACCATAATTTTCATTGACCAGTAGTCCACCGCAGGTAAAGCCAACATGGCGATAAAACGTTGATAAGCATGTGAAAGACTCAGCATGCATGAAATACTGTTTTCCATACATGGGCATCTCTGCTTTTTCTGATTCATGAAATTCTGTATTTTATTCTAAGAAAATTGGTTTAATCTGCGGGGACTCTTCATTCCTCTTGTACTTGGCAATCACTCCTTCAGTGCGAGTTAATAATTGATCGGCTCTTTACACTTTGGCTAGTGCGAGAGCGTCAATGTAGACATATTTTGCCTATAAACCCACTCTACCATACATCAGGTAACAAAAGGCGGTTTTCGAGCAGAATGAGAGCCTTAGCCATTCAGTCGCTCTTTTCAGCACAAACAAAATCACCTGATTTTCCAGAAAAACATTTCATTCTTGAAAAATTATTCATTGTCATGGTTTATCACAAATCCCTCTCATATCGAGCCGAAATAAATTGGGTTCATGAAACTGTCAACTTGGGTTCTGGCCTTAAAGGCTTTCTTTTGGATTGGAAATATTATTTTTGTTTGAACAAACGAATAGAAGCTCTCAAAACAAAAATTAAAGACAACGACTCCCCTTCGACGAGTACAGGAAGCCAAAATGGTAAAAACAGTGTATAAATTAAACGATCCTTATTTAATCAGTTGCATATAGAAGTATTCGAAATAAAAGACCAATAATATCAGGTTTTGGACAAAGAAAACTCTTTTCGCTCTGGTAGGTCTGTTTTGTAACAAGTGTGGACCTTCCGACCTACAATGCAGACTACATTTCAAGTATCCGTGATCCTAAACGTCGTTCTAGACATTTTGTTTAGCATGTGCGTCTTTCGATCACTGAGCAATATCGTATGCATGATAGTCGAATCAGCGATGAAACAAGCTAAGTGCAGGGAACAATCACGTAAATCGGGTGGTGCTAAACATCATATAACAGTAATGTATCTGAAAATCTTCATACCTGGAAGTCGCTTGGATGGTACAGACATCGCACAAGAGATTATTACAAAAAAGAGGAAACAGCTACACCAGAACCTTACTGCGGTCATAATTTTTTTTATCGTACTGTTCCTTGCCGGAGTACCTCTGAAAGCGCACACAATATAACCCCAATCCTCTGTACTTCTTTATACAAGACTTAGGACAATTGGTGGTTGGCACTTCCGAGCAATAACTCGCTTGAGCGTCTTCATGACAAAAGATTTGACAAGTGGCAAAAATACGGAAACGCGGATATTAAGTGTTCATAGAAAACTGAGCGTCACCTGTAACCACTTAGTTTCGATCAGTTACTTCCTTTTTAAGCTATTTCGAATATATGGGGCCCCTTTGTTTAAAGAAATGTGCTTAATAAAACTTTCGGAATAGTTGTTGTCGGTTCTTTGATCTGTTTTAACAGATCAAAAGATGAATAGTCTGACGATATTTGGAGAAAATTCATAAAGAAAAGTTGAATTCTGTTTAAAATGAGAATTATCGCGCCGTTGCGAAAGTTTGTTTACGTTTCATTAATTCATAACGTTTAAAAGGACTTTAAGGGGATTTGGGTTTATTGTTTTTGTCCTTCAGTGCGCAAAATTTGCAACTTTTATTTCTCAAGTTGTGTGGGAAGTTTTGAAGATCGTTTTGTCTGATATTTACGTCTTTTTAAATCAATGTCAGTGTGAGTTTTGAAACTCAATCATGGTTAGGATACTTCAATAGACTTTCACGCTTGATGTTATGGTACGAGAAAGACATGAAAACTTTTGAAAGGCATCAGTTCACGATAATAAGCAGTGCAGCAGGTGCTTAAAAGAGAAAGGCTCGTTTGAATAACAGCGCATTAGCTGCGTTTTCAACAAGATATATTACTCACTAGCTATAATTATCCAATATAGACAGGAACGGCTAACGACTACTAAGCTAAATCCCGTAACAGAAGGAGCTGAAGTATTTCGAATCAACCTACTTTCGATCGGTCAACGCCAATTGCAATCAAGCGCATCATCGCAAATTCTTGAGTTTATCGATAAGAGATATAATGAAAATGGTTTCCTAAAGCGGACTTTCATATTTCTATTGTGATAAGTGAATTATTTCTTACTTAGCCCGTAGTAACAGAGGTAGAAAAAATTAATTTTCATACGAAAAAAGCTCACACTTCCTACTCAACAAAACAAAAAAGTTCTTTCATATAGGATCACGTGCCCACGCTAGTATACTCGGAGCAGGTGCTTCCGTCAGACTTAAGTCACAAGTTTTAAAGAACGCTTTGAAAGAAACAGCAATTTGCACGCAACTAACAAGATAAAAAGAAAATAACACGACAAAAACAAGGCTTGGGCAGTGAACATGTACGAACACATGTCGAATTAAATAGGGCAGCTTTCAATAGAGTATTAAACATGCTTTTTTTTTGTTTCTGAATCTCGCTTTATTTTACTGTAGGAATATGATTCCTCTTTAAGTCCCTTTTTGAAAAGAAACGAAAATTTTGTGGTTCTAGCAGTTAGAAAGTGTTAATTTGAAAGTCTGGATGTAGGGTTAAGTGCGGGACTTCGTGGTTAAATCTGAGTGTATCCTTAAAATACAAGAAGGATACTGGCTTAGAGCTAGCTATGAGGTGGATTCATAAGTTTCTTGTCTGGTTCTGATTTTTTTCCTGATTTTTTTTAATCATTGGAAAACCTTCTGTTACTTTTTAATTGGTCTTATCATTAACAAATGCCATAGAAACCGAGCTAGGGAAGCAGACGCTAAGATTTTACCCGTACGGAACCAATTTGCACTTTTCTGTGGTTGAGCGACATGTTTGATAAATTCATGTCGGAATTTGATGTGACCAAATATGGTAATGATAACAGTGCTAGATAAAAAGACGTTAATGATAAGGAGAGTGTAAATGTAAACGACTGTAAACGAAATCTATTACAGTGGTAGTGACAGATCAATACCAAGGATGAGTTTGGCTCCTAAAGCGAATACAGTGATAGATGTAAAGGATTCGCGAACATTGAAGCTATGGTTGAAAGTGTTCTCGCGTTAGATTAGCCCTGAGTTTATTTCAGACTTATTAAACATGTATGAGGGTGGTTTTGGATGTTCATTAAACGTATTTTGCGTTTATTGTGGTCTGGTCTTGATAGAAACATGGGAGGACCTCACAAAGCTTCGCTGTCCAGCTGTTGCTTTAAGTATCTTGAATGCAGTGATCGTTGTATACAAGCTTACCACTTAAAAAAATAAGCGACAAAAGTGAGAAAAAAAATAAAATGAAACAAAAATCCTACATAAGTAAAACAGATAACTACGCTGTTGAAAAGGGCAACTCTTTCAGCAACCCTCAAAGAACAAAGGGAAAATATATTAGCATAACAACAAAATCAAACAATACGTATGATGCGCGATCCTCGCAGTAGATAGCGCTATTTAAGCAATAGCAAAAATCAGACCTGAAAAAAATCAGGCCTGTACGGGACTCGAACCACTGACCTCTGCGATACTAGTGCAGCGCTCTACCAATTGAGCTAACAAGCCAACTGGGAGCAGGCCGTTAAGTTGATTCGTAATAAACCCGTGAACGTGATAAATGAGATACAATGAAATATATGAAGTTGATATATTTTGTACTGCGGTATTAGATACATATGATGCACGATCCTCGCAGTAGATAGCGCTATTTAAGCAATAGCGAAAATCAGACCTGAAAAAAATCAGGCCTGTACGGGANTTCATTGTATCTCATTTATCACTTTCACGGGTTTATTACGAATCAACTTAACGGCCTGCTCCCAGTTGGCTTGTTAGCTCAATTGGTAGAGCGCTGCACTAGTATCGCAGAGGTCAGTGGTTCAAGTCCCGTACAGGCCTGATTTTTTTTTTTCAGGTCTGATTTTCGCTATTGCTTAAATAGCGCTATCTACTGCGAGGATCGTGCATCATACGTATCTAATACCGCAGTTCAAAATATATGAACGTCATATATTTCATTGTAACCAAAATCAAACAAATAAACTTTTGTCTTTGTACTAAGACAAATCATATACGGTGGAAACTAAGGGGGAAAAGTCAGTATGTCTCATGAGGACCAAGAGACGAATATTTTATCAGCACCACGAGGTTTTTTCAGCCACAAGCATGGCATGTAGGCGGTCGCCACAGCGGCCTTATTGACGAATGACCTCCCTCGGTGACTTCCTCTCCCGAAGCTGAATTAGGCAAGTGTATGTAAGACTTTTCTAGTATAGAGGTTTTGAATGGCAGGAACAATGAAAATATTTTACATAAGAAAGAAAATTTTCTCCCATGGGAAAAATAATCTATTGTTCCTGCCATGCAACATGGCTGCTTTGCAAAACCTCTATTGCTCAGTCAGAGTAACTTACCAAGTTATATATTTGGAAACATTTCTGTTACAGATTTCATTTTGTCAAAACATTAACTCTCGCTAACTGAGCAAAAGCGCTCTTTCTAAAATCCGTATTTCGCAAAGTTTCAAATATTATCCGCCAGCTCCGCCAGAAATTTCTCGCATCAAGCAAGGAAACCTGAGACTAGTTTACAAACCGCGGGAAACTGGTGACGAACGAATGAGGTAAATATGGCGGTCATTCTGATCTCTTGAACACTCTCTAACGGGATGTATTAATAATTATTCTTCCGAGCTGTATTTGAAATATGACTGTACATCTCTATATAACCGCTGGCTGAGTAAGTAGATGTTTTTTGGGTGTATCTCCCTACGGACCAGAAAACTGTCTTTTTCCGCACGATTTGCACACAAATTTGTGCGGTATTTGAAGTCACACTCCACTCAACTTGATCGTGAATGACTGCCGTACCATATCTGACTATTTCAAGGGTCATACCAAAGCAAAAGATGATATAGATGCTAGTGGTGCCTTTAAAAAGCTATAATTTGAGTGCACTGATCGTCGTGAGGCAAATAACATTTTAGATTGTTGTACGCAAGACGGATAGCTGAAGTTATATATTCAAAGGAGAATTTTTTTGAGTTTTGATTTCAAAACTTCTCTGACTTGCTTGCATTTTTTACACGATGCTCAAATAACACTCAAATTTCTAGGAACAGGACGTAAAGTTGAAGCTTTCCACATTACCTGGAGAGCTTCAGGTAGTGTGCACGAATTTTCCGAGCTCCGTGTAAAATTATTTGTCAACTGTCTGGCTTGCTACGATTAGCTCTTGGCTATTTGCAAGCCAGCCTAATAATAACCATCTGAAGTGAACAAATAAAAAACTACCTTGACTTTGACTTTGACTTTGAAGGTACTTCATCACGGTGGTGATAGAATTTATATTCATTAACATTAAGCTTAAAGTATTAGAAGAGCAAATAACGTCCTGTTATCATGGGGTAACGCTCTGATAAAGTATGCAGTACTGCATACTACGTGGTTCTTGGACTAAGCATAGTAGTTTAAATGAAACTTTTCACAATTTTCATGCTGGTGTGAGGGTTTTGCAAAAATCAAGGAGCAAGAGCCTCACTCACAAGAGACTGATGACTGAAACTTGGATGGAAGCATTCTTCAAAAGGATGCTTACTGCACCAGTCGACGTAATGCCTTATACAGATTAGGTAATTGCTTCATTGAACGATGGTATATATTCAGGCCTGAAAAATGTAGAACTTAAGACTTGGAATTAATTTGGCATTTCGCTAGATGTGAGCCTGTTGCAATATATTGCACTGGTTCCTTTGAACTCCTTTGAAAGCCCAGGAAGCTTAACTTATCTGTTTTTGTGTTATAAATCTTTCTCATTTGATAGAGATTGGAGATAAGATGCCTTCCAATCTTAAAATTTTTTCTCTTGTGTATCTGTAGAGTTTATGACCTCCTTTGGGAGATGTAACACCACAACTCTGAAGGCTGTAGAGGTTGAGCATGTGTTTGCTGTTAAGGAGTGGATGTTGCCCTTTCCAACCATGCTTTGCAACATTTCAAGCCTTGCATTTGAATTTACTAAAGCTCCATCTGGAAAAGTTGTCATGCAGTACAAGAAGAGGGGAAGTGACAAACAGGAAAACTAAAAACCCATTAGCCCTGATCCAGAGCAGTGGTTAACAAAAGTGAAAGTAAGTGGGAATATCTGCTGTACGATGGAGAATGGTGAAAAACAAAAAATCCCAACAACACTTTTCATTAATAACTATACTCTTTTCATACACTGTAGATACCTGTTGTGTTCAATTGTAGTGTGATGATCTTACATTTTTGTACTTAGCATTAAACAAGATAAGAAGCCAAGACATTCTGATAATTAAAAATAATAGCAAGTACTACTAGAAAATCACAATCTAATCACTGTTACTGGCATTGCTGTAAGTTACTGAGGCTTAAATTTGCTGTCTGTAGTCATGTCTTTCTCTACTGTCTGATTCACGTCCATTAAATTTGAAATTTCCAGAATAAGTGTAGATGTAAATGCCCCCCCCCCGGATTATGTTGTTCCAGATACAGGGAAGCTCAAGTTTCAAAGGCTCAGATCAGAAATTGGAAATTACAACAGATCAAGATCTTTTCTGGAACAACATATTAAAGAAGATTGGGCATCACTACTTGACCCTGAAAATACTACATGGCATCCAACAGAAAGGGCAGTTGCTTGACCGTTGAAAGATATCATTACTAACATTGAAAGACTTAAAGAAAGGCAAAAACTCTTAGAGGATACAGGGAATGGTCAGGGTTTTCTAGGGCAAAAACCTGAAGGATGTTGATGATGTGGTCAGAACTTAAGTTGCTCCCTTGGGAGAGGTGATTTATGCTCAAAATTAAGATATACGATGTGTGCTCAACTTAAGCCTCCTGCTCATGCAAACTTAGCTATTTTTGCTGAAGTGTATGTGCTCACCAAACCTTTCCATCATGTGTGTCTTATTGAGGTAGCCACAGCTGAGGTTTTCTTATTTTATTTTTTCTTAGTTTTTCTTTATCAGGAGGCGGTGTGGCTGAGTGGTTAGGGTGCTGGACTTGTAATCTGGTGTCCTGGGTTCAAGTCCTCCATCCTGCCACTCACTGGATTTGTTCTTAGGTGCTCCTAGTTCAACTCCTTGGCTGTATGGCTAAATAGCCCTCTGGTCTGCCTCTTGCCAGTGTGGACTTTTAAGCACTTAGTCTACATTGTGGCTGAAAAGCCCCTAAGGGGAGGCTTCAATTTACCTCTTTATTATTCTTGATGTGACTAAACACACACTTGAATTGAATAGTCATGCGGATAATTTTTCTTTATAATTTGTTCACATGCAGGTGTATAGTGAAGCTTATAGAAGGCAGACTGCTGTGGTTACTGAGGTGGATAACTTTCAAAGGAGTTCTACCAGACAGCATTGTAGCAGTTAATCTTGATGGCAACTACAAACCTCCCCATCTGGCAAAAGTAACAGAAGTCACTAACTCCTCCTTCACTATGCAGTGGCTAAAGGTTAGTTAGAAGGGAAAGTGGGTATTATGGCCTGGATGGACTTCTTGCCAAATTCCTAAAGAAAGTGTAATTTATTTTGATATTGAATTGGATGAGAATGATAAACTAAGAAAGGTGTCTGCGCAGTACTTAAGGAGGAGTTACAAAGGGTTAAAAAAAAATGGTGCCATATGCACAGATATAATTATGTAGATCCTTGCTTTTCCATTGAAACTTAAGACATTTGAGGTCATTTAAGTCCCAGCATGTCTAAGCTGGGAATTTTTTAAAATCTCTAGAACTACTGAGATAATAGAATGTAGCATACTAGTATTCAATTATTTTGGTCCAAACATTTTTATAATTGACTCTGGACATTTCTGTAGATATGCCAATATTTAATTTCCAGTAACATGATAAGTTGTAAAAAAATGTTCATTACATAGGCTCCAGATATTTGTATGGAAATTTCCCAAGATCTATAAATGTCTAGTTATGTTTAAAGTAAAATGCAAGATGCTTGATCATATTTGATGTAGGCATGTGCATGGAAATTTCCATAGATCTTCTTTTAACATGGGTATGGAAATTTCCATAGATCTTCCAGAAACATGGTAAAATGTAAGATGTCTATTGATAATTGATCCAGACTTGTGTATGGAAATGTCCACAGATCTTCTATTAACATGGAAAAATGTAAAATGTTGAGTAATAAACAATCTATAAATGTTTATGGAAATTTCCAGGGATCTTGCAGTGACATGGTAAAACAAAAGCTGTTCAGTCATAATTGATCGACACTTGTGCATGGAGATTTCCATAGATCTGTTAATAACATGGTAAAATGTAGTATTTTAAGCTATAATTAATCTAGACATATGCATGGAAATTTCCATAGATTTTCCATCAACATGGTAAAGTGTAAGATCTTAAGTTATGAAGGATCCACGCAATGTGTTTGAAATTTCCATAGATCTTCCCATAACACGGCAAAATGTATGATGTTCAGTTATAATCGATCCACATATGTGCATGGAAATTTCCATAGATCCTTCATCAATACTGCAAAATGTAAGATGTTGGTTGTAATCAATCCAGACATGTGCATGGAAACTTGCATAGATATTCCATTAGTATTGTAAAAGGTAAGATGTTCAATTATAATTAATCCACACAATATGCATGGAAATTTCCATAGATCTTCTATGGAATTTCCATATATCTGCTTAAGTAACATAGTAACATAGTATAATGTAACATGACTTTTTAATCCTTTTGGTTTAGACATCTCTGTCGAAAGTTTTCAGATATATTTGTAAAAAACAAATTCTCAGCACAATCATTGTGAAATGTGCGATAGCCAATTTCTCATATGTAAAGAACGTATGTATAAATTTCTGTATATAGTTCTCAAAAGATATTCAGTTTAGGGTGTAAGAGTTGTTGCAATCAACTGAACTGTGGAGTAGTTCTTATAGACTATTAAACCTCTTTCTTCAGTATTTATAAGTGTCCTGGTCAAAAATATATAGCGTAGAGTACACATTACCCAACATACACTAAAGTGGCAAGGAAGTATCTCTTCGATTGTGGTTTTTACAAAATCTTCTTGACTTCAGAAAATCTGCAATTAAAAAGTTATGTGTTTCAAGCTATAGATGAGTTTGTGTGCCTCTGGCCGCTACGATAAAGTTCGCCTCTATTAGAGAAGGTATTAAAAATGTCCACAGCTACGGGTATATTTCCCATGTTAACCAGATCTTTCATCACTTGTTGTTGATTTACAATAACCTTATTAAAGCGGCAAAACAAAACTTGTCCATAATTTATATTGAAGAATTGAATCCGTGTGAACAAACAAGTTATTTCTTATGTCTCCAAACTTTTCCCATCGGGAATTACATAAGATTCTTAGGTCTCCAAACTTTCCCATCGGGAATTACATAAGATATATATGTATGTGCAGACGGTCATTATTTCAAACCCTGATGATGGCAAACAGCTGAAAACGTTTGGTTCAAACATTTTAATTTTTTCCTAATCTTTTAGCCTTGTATATAGAATATACCGTGTGATATTGTTCCATAACTTCATGGATATAACAACCAGCGTATTGTTCATGTTGATTGGTTAAATTTCGGAGAACATTCAGGCCCTCTTACACCTAGCTCATTCTTTCCGTTGCAAAGAGTCAGAAAACTTCTCATTTGAGTGTGCCTATCTCTTTGCCCCTACTATAAATCGCACGAGAAAAAAGCTTGGCAGACACTGGATTGTAACAACAGAATATCTTTTAGAGATTCCAGAGCTTTATTGAATATCTTCTCTGCGCGTGATCATAGAAAACGATCACATTGTCCTATGAGATAGAACCCTTGTAAATAAAATCTCAATACAATCACTTAAGAACCAAACATTAATTTACAATATAATGCGAACCAAAATAAAATATACATATGTACTTCTCAATCTAGCACTACGGTAAATTATAACCTAAACGATGGTTCTCTTTCTCCGAGGAAGAAATGATGAGAAGCCCCTGTCAAACTCCTGCCACCAGAAGAAAAGGGTAAGATAAACTCAAGTCCTTGAGAACGTCCGATTTATGAAGTAACTAATGCAGAATTTGTAACGGCTCTTTTATTATTCAGCTGTAGTTTGCTAAACGAGTTTTTTTTTATCTTGGCTTATAAGTCTAGCGGCTTAAAAACGTGCAACAGATTGCAGTCGTTAATTGATTTGCGTATAAAAACACGCTTACCGAGCGACAAAATGAAGTCATGCCGGCCAAGAAAATTCGAAACTCTGCACCCTAGCCTATCTGTTTAGACACTATCTTGAGTTTTCTTGTGGCTGACTTACACTGCTAATTACAGTGTTCTTCAGTCTTTAAAAAGCGTCGATAAGTGAAGTACTTTACTCCTTTTCGGATGACTCCACGGACCGTCCCCGTCTTGTCTTGCAGCATGGTTTGGGACAGGCAGGTGGGCACACAGTGGGAGGCGCGGCTCCACACATTGGGGGACAGGGAGGCATGGGTGGCATCATTGGTGGCATCATCGGTGGCATCATAGGTGGTTGTTGCTGCTGAGGCACTTGGATCTGTATGGCTGGAAGTTTGATTAACATTGGCTTTGGCGGCGGTGGAGTCACTGGTTTGCAGGGTTTGGCCGGGGGAGGTCCACAAGCCATTTGCATGGGCATTGGTGGCATTGGCATTGGCATTGGCATTGGCATAGGCATTGGCATTGGCATGGGCATCGGTGGAGTGCATCCAGGAGTTGGCACCGGAGCGCATGGTTTGGGAGCTGTGCTTTTAGACTTAGTTTTTCCTGCTTTTGGTGGGGAGGGAGGTAGGCAGGGGTTGAAAGGAGACGGAATGCAAGGCATAGGCATTGGTGGCGGCATTGGAGGTGGTGGAGGTGGAGGAAGCATTATCATGCTGCTTTGTGGATAAGTCAGACCCATTAAGTTCACAGGTTTTGGTGGTTTTGCTGCCTTGGCTGCAGGCTTCTTCGGTGGTGGCTTTGGTGGACAGTTCGGGGAGATATTTGGAATGCAGGGTGGGGCCATCTGTTGAAAAAAAACGAGAGCAAATTAAAAAGACCAAATTCTAGAGGTAAAAGCTTTTTTTATGTGATAGTTGGTATTTCAATTTGCGTCTCCTTTTACTAAACACCCCAACCCAAAGTATTATTGAAGTATTAGTCCTCCCAATCTTTCTCCACCTCTCCTCATCCACACCTCATGGTAAACCTGATATGTTTCTTTGTAAGTTTTTTCATTTATCCCCCTTCAGGATACCCCTCATTTATCCCTACCAGCAAAATACCGCTCCTTCTTTCTAAGGTCGTTTTGGAATGAAACAAAACTGAGCAAACTGGTTGCTTACCTGAGGCATGGGATATTGAGGTATCATCATAGGCTGAGGTGGAGGAGGAGGAGGAGGAGGCATCATAATTGGAGGACATGGTGATAGAGCAGAGGGAATACACTGCCTAAATGCCCCTGCCTGAGGAACAGGCAACACAGCACGAGACACCGGCCTTGAAGATACCAACCTAGGCATTATGCGCCTGTATGCCGGCTGAAGTGGAAATCTGTAAGCAATGTGTGGAGCATTCATCACAGGCTTTTTAGGAAAGAAGCGTCCTGTGTTTGCTACCAGTGGCCGTGCGACCATGTTGCGGCAAAAGTTGTTCATTAGTGTTGGAACACAGGGTGGAGGTGGAGGATATTGTGGGAAAGCTGGTGCAGGGTAAGGAAAAGGCATTGGTGGTGGACAGGGGGTGGTTAGCGTCGGAGTGCATTTTGCAGCAGGTCGTTTGGCTTGGACCTTTGGCTGTGTCGGTGGTGGTTGTGTTGGTGCTGGCTTGGGTGGGCAGGGATTAAATGGAGTTGGTACACATGGGGGTGCCATGTATGGAGCGGGGGCAGGTACTGTAGAGGTACAGCAGCTTGGAGCGCAGCTTGAAACACACTGAGTGGCACAGATTGGAGGGCAGGATGCTGAACCTACATCGATAGTTAAGAAAGAAAAAAACCTGTTTCATAAAGCTCCAACTTAATTTTAAGCTCTTCAAATGCTACCTACCACATGCTTAGCTAATAATAAATTCGAAATGCTCTCCCAACGAATGCATTAGAGCCCGTTGTTCTTTCATGAAAACAAAGTGAGTTACGGTTAGTTTATATACCTGGAGGAGCTATGCTGATGGTTAGAAGTTTCAGCTTTTCGCTCAATGGTGCTGGTAGCTTGTTTCCATTAGCACGAAGATATTCCTGAAGAGGTGACGTCGGGTCTGGTAGTATGTTGCTTGGTCCAAAGGTCAGAGAGAGCTTTACAATAACCTTCTTCTTTTGCCTAAAAACAGAATTCGGGTTTATTTTGTGGAAAATATGGCATCGGTTGTCTTTGTTGAAAAGTTTACCAGCACCTAAGCATCTTGTCAACATTGATTTTTTTCAGTTGAACTTAGGTTTCCGTCATTGTGGGGTACATAAGGGTACTTCGTCGAAAAAAGGTATTTGCTTCCCTTCAGTGGTGCAACTAGTGTAATAGCAAATAGGTCAATGATCCACCTAATGTAGTGCTACCGCTTTAAATGGCAGGATTACTGATTAAATAACTGTCTAAGTCATGTTTTAAGACCAAATGAATCGACGTTTACGTCAAACTGGTTATTCTTCGAGTAAACTATTCAACCAGTAATACCAATTTGCTACACTCATTAAACTTTTTCGCCACAACTTGTGGTTGCTAACTCTTACTTTGTGGTTGGAACTTTAGGAGGGGTGGGCTTTGCAGGTGTGGCTACGCCACCAGAGGGTTTGGGTTTTGGAGGAGTTGTAGGTGCAGGAGTCACTCTGATCGCAGTAACAATTTGACGTTTGCCAAAGTAGTTGTATGCTGGTACTGGTGGTGGTGGTGGAAGACCGTTGCTGAATCAGACAAAAGATGAGGTACATAAGAATATAAAAACTTTTTACACGTAATTCTTGTACAAAATATCTTAATACAAGGCTCGTATCGACAAAGTCTTTCTTATACTCTTTTCATGGACTTACCTGACAGAAGTGATGACGGAACTCATGAGATTTTTTACTCCCGCCTTCGTGTAAATTTCTTTAAACTGAAAATCAAAAATAAATTCAACATCACGCAACTGAAATGTCAACAGCTTAGTTACATTTTTATTTTATCTTCTTTTAGAACCAAGTCTTTCTAACTATACGTAGGTAGTGGATAATACACTATTAATATAAGATTGATGAATGCTTTAGTCATACCGCCTTTTGGAACTTTGTAGATAGTTGCTGAGATGCAAGAGATCCAGGATTGCCCAAATCGTCCAACCATACCATGGATTCCACTTCGAGTTTCAGGAGATAGGTAATGTAACCTAGATGGAATCATCAAAATTGCTTTAGATCATTTTCACGCGCTAAAAACAAAAACCCAAATAATCACGATAATTATGTTTTCTTACATAATATTGTCACACACTTCAGTGTAAAATGCAGTTGAGGTCCATAATATTACTTTAACACTCTTCGAAAAAGTCACATAACTTTGATGCGCTTGCTAACAGTGTATGCCCTTCAAGTAATTTCTGCTCCTGGTACAAAACAATGAAGATTTGTCATCGCTTACCTTCTAATGGCTTTTTGCACGCATATGTGCTGGCAGTGGTACATGGATAGTCGGCCATAGTGCCGTACTTGGCCTTGTTATCGAAGCCAACGCAGTTTTCATTTTTGCCAGTTGGCTGTCCGTTCACCCAGTCCATGAAGCGAATCTGGGAGCCCTCAACCGACATGTACATACTTTCTGCCAAACGGTCATTAAAGCTCAGCCAGGTGAAATCTTTTTGGTCCTTCAAGAGCCCCTGCTTGAAAAAATCGTTCTCTAATGATGACTCGATCGGAGGGAGCACTGCAGTTTCTTTCAGACATTCTCCTAAAGCATTCATCCATGTTTGCTTGTCTTTGTGCAGCTTGT